GGAGCAGTATATGATTTCCGATGATCAATCTGATCTGGGTATTCAAAATTTATGATGATAAAAGCTGGAAATGGATTGAATACGGATGGATTTGAACAAATGCGCCTACGCGTTTCACCAATCTATAGATATAACAAGACGTATGTATATACCGTTACACGAAATGAATTGAAAACCTAAATTAGTTTGGGGATACGAGAACTGGATGCTCAAAAGCTTTGATAATTGCTTCGACCTACAGTGTCAACAAGATGATCAGCAAAGCAAAGCAGCTATCTGATGTTTCGAGAGATAGGGTAGGGTTTTTATTAATCTGGTAGCTCTGCTCCACCATTATTGTTTGAATTTCTTGATTTTTTTGGAGGAGATGATGGATTACCCGAAACATTTGTTGTATTTTCTAGAATGTTGTCCATTGATATGATATGAATTAGGGCAGATTAACAAACATGGGTTTTTTTTTATAAGGTTAGTGGGTAAAGCTTTTGATTTCTTCCATGGATTGTAGTTATGGAAATGCACACACATTTTGTAACATACACATTCTAAAATTGTGTATTGTTATTATTAAAAGTGAATAAAATTGAGTATTGAGTTCTAGCAGCTAGTTTTTACTAAAAATGAAGTAAAACTATGTTTAGAATCACTCATAAAATATTGAAAGTCTTATGAGATTCCAATTAATAGCCAAATAATGAAAATTTAGCGAAAATATAAAACTTGAAATAAGTAAAATTTTATTATTTGATGTTGTAGAGAATCTCGTTAGAAACATTTAGGCGAAAACCTCGTCGAAATCCGAGTTATAATGAAGAAGTTATGACCAATCGAAGATCCGCGATAAAACCGGCACGGCACCGAATGACGTAAAAGTGAGTTTTTGATAAACTACTTTTTAGCCTTAGTAATCTAAATGAAAGTCGTAGTATTCGTTAAACCGAGAAGTTCGATAAAAAGAGCGCCAAAATCTGACTTCGTATGAGGAAGTTATGATTTTTCTAAGTTTCGGATTAGCAGTAGACAACTAAAAACTCGAATTTTAGATCGAGCGATATTTTACCGATACATCCTAAATGATAATCGAAGGTATCGTCATTTGTAGTACAACGGTAAAAGGTCTAACGAAAACGGATGTCGGATGAAAAAGTTATGAATTTTTAACGGATTTTCCTATCCCAATCTGTTCAAAATAATAATATTAAAAATAAATTCAAAATTAGTCGATGGAGTCCAAACGAAAGTTGTATAGCGTAATTTTAGCTACGCGTGCATATAAAGAACGTAAAAAACATGGGTCGGTTTGGGTCAGTTTTTTACTAAAACCAAACCAAACCGTAGAAAAACCATGTAGGTTCGGTTTTTTGCTTGGGTCTGTTTTTCGGTTTTCCGGGTTGGTTTTATGGGTTTTCGGTTTTAAACCGTGGGTTTATGAGCGCGTACTTTTTTTTTCTTCTAGTTTTTGGGTTCAAACCTAGTGAAAATATGTTGTGATAAATAGTATTGTATCTACTTTAAATATACTAAAATAAAGAGTACGAATTCTAGTATTATAAGAGGATAGAAGTATTCAAAAGATCAAAGTTTAACACCATTAACAGTTTGTTGAAAATAAACATAAAGTATTAAAGAGATAAAGTCTAATAATGTTTAAAACTAAAAGTTTAAATCATAATATAAATAATATATATGTGGATCGGTTTGGTTTTTATGGGCGGTTTTACACGTCAAAACCGAACCAAACCGTTATTTTTCGGTTTTTGTAAAATTCAAACCTAAACCGTGGCTTATTGTTTTGGTTTCGGTTTTTCGGTTTCGGTTATGTCGGTTTTTTTCGGTTTTTCAGTTTTCAGTTTGGTTTTTGCTCATCCCTATCTTTAACCTGATATCTGGTTTCATGCTTGCAATTATAGTGTGAACCAAGATTATTGATTGGAATCTTACCTCTCATTGTTTTATGTTTTGCAATATTGAGATCATTAGTTAGATCGGACGAGGATGAGAAAATTCTATTGAAATAAGTTAGTCTCCAAATTTGTTCGAAAAGTCCTTGTTGTGTAGTTACCATTATAACAACCATAATTTTTGTAGATGCAAATGAGAATAATTAGAAAAAAAATGCAATAAATGAAACAAAATCATTAATTAAAGACATAATATTAAAAAAAACAACAACAACAAAAAAAAAACAAAGTGACTTGTGTGTTGTAATGCTTAGCCTAATCTGGAGATGAATAAATAAATTGTAATGTTTTACGATACATCATGCAAATTGCAATGATCGATATCAAATTTCAGTAATTTCTTTTCGAACTTTAATCGATGATAAGCACCAATGATGAATTTCTTAAGATTTAAATACAAAAAGAGATAGATAAATATAAATAAATAATAAAATAACGTCAATTGTGAAAAGCAGGCCTTGTGATATTGGCCCATTCTTTGTCCAGTTTTTCCAGCCCAGCCCACAAGCCTACAAAACAAAGAAGCTAGGGTTAACATCAAATACTCCAAACCCCATTCGTCATATCACGTCGAAACCCTAATTCAATCCGCCCATCAGCAGCTGAGCAGGTTGCTCTCTCTCTTTCTGAATTTATTCACTAATTGTTCCTTACCTATGAATCGGATATATCGATCTTCTATATAGCAAAAGTTCATATCCAATTTATATTCAATCTGGTTTTATTTATTTGGAGAACAGATTGATTGATAGAGAGAGATGGCGAAGTCGAAGAATCATACGGCGCACAACCAGTCGGCTAAGGCTCACAGAAACGGCATCAAGAAACCCAGGAAACACCGTCACACATCAACCAAAGGGGTCAGTTCATTCGCTTAATCTATCTAAACTTACTTGTTACGTGTTATAGTTCGTGTATTCTAATGTCTTCCGATTTTAGAATCACTTTAGGTTTACATTTTCCAGATTTTTGGTTGACTGTCATTCAGCCCACCAAATTAATAGCATTGATACTCCCTCCGTCCCAAAGTTGATATATTAACTAAACTCTCAAAATCATAATTTTTAGGATAGATACTATTTTTTTGTTTGATTTTTTTTGCTACTATGTCGAAGTTCTAGGTACTAACCATTGTAGTTCTATAAACACATTTTGTAACATATCTAGATGATTAACATAACCAATAGAAATTCTTAATTTTTCTCAGATCTTTGAAAATTTATCTGATGTTTTCTTTTTGATCTTCAAAGCCTTCCTTTCAATAATATCTGTTTTCATTAAATTGGTCACATTTTTCCAAGATTACATTTTTAGGCCCATTTCAACATTGAAAAGAGGCCGAATTTGTAAAAAGCTGATAGAGAAAGCCTTCCTTTTCCTTGTTTCTGCATCGAGTTGAAAGGAATCATCCTTATCTAATTTACTTAACTAAGTTCTTAGTTTATTAAATCCTTATCAGTTTGAAGTTGTGATAGTCTAAAGTTTTAATGATTATTTTCAAAAAGGAATATAAATATGAAATGGGAAATCTTTCCACTTTGAACTTGAACCTTTATTCCAGTGGATAGTTTTGTTAGTTCTTTTATGAGCTCCAAATCTGCTACAAGTTTTCCTTCATCTCATCCAAAGTAAAAATTTTAGACTATCTACCTGTTTTCTTTCCATTTGTTCTTATTTCTTTTAACCAAATTAAAAATTTTAAACTATCTACCTGTTTTCTCTTAATAACCATATAACATTGTGGTTTTAGTTTAAGTCACTTTACTAACAAGAGCATAAATGCTGAATTATTTTTATAATATTCATAGAAAATTAATAGTTTAGTGCTTAATTTGATACTTTGTTGTTTTGCACTCTTAAGCAGCAACTTTGTAGATAAGATAACACTTTATTAAATATGCATATAGTCATATAATCGGAGAACTGTTATTTACTTTAATTTAATGAAATGTATTAATTCTAATTGATTTTTTTATGATTACACAGATGGATCCCAAGTTCTTGAGGAACCAGAGGTATGCAAGGAAGCACAACAAGCAGGCTGGTGCTGAATCTACCCAGGAAGAATAGATGATATGTTTGTTTGTTTTAAAAGTTTTATCTTTTAAATGATTTTTGTTTGTTGTCAGATCAAGAATCCAACTTGTCAGATTTGGTTTTGATTTAATATGATATCTTGATGACTGTTTTTATTAATTATAGAGCTATAAATGCAAGAGATTTTGATATAATTCTATTAATTTCTCTATTTATTAAGAACAAATGTTTAGTAAACAACTAAAGTCCAAATATTTAATTGAGCACGATTCAACGTAAAAGTTTCTTTTATATAACCCAGCAAAATTTCTTTTCTCCTGTTTTATCCAAGTAAAGATGTCATCTTAAACTGGGCTTTATAATCGACATGAATTACATGCCAAGGCTTCCTTCCTAAAACTGTTTTATAATGAAAAGCATCTTGATTTTCCATTTAGATTTTTTTTTTTTTTTTGATGAATCGATTAGTAGAAAGTGAAATATTCTAACTAGTCAATTTTATGCCAAGATAAAAGTTTGTGACTAGTTAAATTTATGCCAATTCAAACCTAAAACAACATAACTTATTTAAAAACTTTGCCTTTCTAAGTTGTATATTAAAAGATAAAATTTACAAGTGCTTTAAAGTTACAAGTTCTTTGCAATAAAATCATTTTTTTTATTCTTTAGAAATGACTGCCATTCAATTGTGGGGTCAAAACGTTGTCCTGTTTTATGATAGGGATTGGTTTGTTTATGTTTGTTATCAGCATTTTGTAACTAACACTGACAATCAACACTTTGCCTTTTGTGTAATTAAGAAAACCAATTTATTTATTACAGCGTTGTAATTTCAATTTGAAAATCTACCAAGTTATAATATTTTTAAACAGTAATGTTTAAAAATTTGCCTGTGAAAATTGTTTTGTATTTGGATGACAATGTTGTGACTAGGTTGATTTTTCAAAGTATAATTTTGTAACATGAAGAATTAAAAGTAAAATGTTACAATAAACAAATCAATGAAAGTATATCGCTAGCTCTTGCATTTAACTCTTTAGAATAACCTAAGAGTATTGAATACAACGACAAATTTGAGTAGAATTTACAATAAAAAAAAAACCCAAATATAAACAGAATGTAAACATATGAACACAAGTAACAAAAAAACAAACTCAGAATATGCATTTGTTTGATGTAAGCCGCTTACTTTTTGCCTGAATTATACTGCTACTGGCTTGCGTTCATCTACATTGACCTGATTTTAGAGTTGACTATAATTTATATGGCTAAATACAAGAAATAATAACTTACTTTCTTATTAAGGGATTGTATGTATTTTGAAAAAAAAAAAAATTGTATTAGGAAATTTTACTTTGAAAAATATACCCAACTATAACTGTGGTGAATTTTTGATTGTATGTGGATGACATTGCTATAATTGGAAAGGATTCCAACATGAGATGCTCACCTGGGCTGATTTAAAAAGCTCATCAAGTACTTCTGAAAGGGTGGGATGTGCATGAACTGCATATTTTAAGTCCTGCAAAAATATATTTATATTATAGAGAAGTAATTAATAGCATTAGGAAATGAAGGTGAAAGATGTGCCTGAATGCGAGTGCCTAATGCCATGGCATTGGATGCTTCATGGATAAGATCAGCTGCATGCATCCCCAGGATATGCACTCCAAGAATCTCTCCCGTATCCGCCCTATATATCAACTGCATAATCATACAAAACCAATCTCATCCATCCATTCATTTAACAGTCTTTGTTTGTTGATGAAACACTAGTCATTTATCCATGTAACAGTTAATGAGGGGGGAAAGGGGTAAAATGGTCATTTACTTGTAATAATATTGATCTAAGAAAAAGAGTAGGGTTGTTAAAAAATAATTAAGAAAGAAGAGAAAACCTTGGCAAGACCCTCTCCTTGATTTTCTGCCAAAGCTTTTGTGTTGGCTTTGAAACTTGTCTTAGCGACACTTATCTTGAACTTTTCTTTTTTTGCTTTCTCCTTTGCTTGAGGCTGAACAAATTAAATACCCATTTAATTTAATTAATAATCATAATTCATAACATTTCCTACACCCAAAGATGTATAAAAGAAAAAGTTATAGGTAGAAGATTAAATTTAAGAATTTGACCTCGGTCAATCCCACCATACTGATTTCAGGATGGGTGAAGCAAGCTGCTGGGATACTTAAGTGGTTCAGAACATGATCTTTTCCACTCACTTGCTCAACAACTATTTCAAACAATCCAAATCCAGAATCAATTCAGTTCATTTGCTATAATCAATTACTTTAAACACCATTTTATTTAGACAACACTTGATGAGAATTTTTTTTAAAAAAAAACAAGGTCTTACCTGAAATTCCCTGTGCACTAGCAGCATGAGCAAGCATCAATTTGCCATTTGCATCTCCAATGCAATATAAGTGAGGAACCTAAAGTTTAAAGTGTTTTTTTTTTTTGTCAAATACCAATTAGCCAAATATGTTTTGATTATAAGATCATATTGGTAATTGAAACATACCAGGTTTCCCTTTGCATCAATCACCCGCATACGCTCATCAACAGGAACAAAACCACGTTGTGTCTCCACATTGATCTACAGAACATCATTACAATTATACATGTAGGCCCTATTAGTTGCACTGTGTCTAACATGCATCTGACTGACACTGATGTGAGTGAGACAAAAATTCCCAAAAAGGTAGGACACAGACTCACGAAAAGACGTGAATGTCAACTTCACTCTCATCATACAAAATAGCTGTTAAGTCCAGTCTCATGTAACAAATGCAACCCTTATGACATATTAATTTAATATTTTACTATTTTAACCTTAAGCAACATACATTTTCCAATCCAAGACCTTTTGTGAATGGAGCTCTTCCAGTGGCAATTAGTGCTGCATCTACCTACACAAGTAGCAAAGACCACAAAATTTGCAGCTTTATGTTGCCCCCCAAAAAGGTGAAACAAGAACCGATATCAATAAGACAAAAATTGCAGCTTTTTGTATCACCAAAAAAGGTGGAACATGGGTTGGAGTCAATTAGATAAAAGTTGCAGCTTTTTGTCTAATTAAGAAATATGGAACAAGGATTGACTTGAATAGGTCAAAAGTTGCAGCTGTTTTACCTCTAGTGTTTCTTTTGGTTCTTTTGTTTTGGCATCAATAAGTTCAATCATGACAGGTTTCCCATTCTTTGCAGGGGTGATCTGTTGAAATAATAACACAAAATCAATGTGACTTTTTGCATATAATATAATGGAATTCAAACAAACAAATAAACCGAGAATTCACCTTGGTAGCAAATACTCCTGTATGATAGTCAATCTTTCTTGGATTTATAAGAACCCTTTGAGCTAACTTGCTAATCTCAGGATCAAATCCAGGCATAAGTTGATCAAGAGCTTCAATAAATGTGACCTATTTATTCATTTTGTAATATTTAAGTTTATAAAACTTGATAAGTTGAAGCTAAGAGGACTTTAGGGCCCACCTCACTACCAAGTGCAGTGTACACGTCACTGAATTCAAGTCCAATATATCCACTTCCTACAATGGCTATCCATTCAGGAACAAACTCCAGTTTTAGAGCATGATCACTAGTAACAACAGTCTTCCCTGCAGTTATTTAGAATGATAAAAATAATAATAAAAAAAAATTAACAGACTTATGATCTTTATTAAATTGTGTGTGAAATAAATATTTATATACCATCAACTTCAATGCCTTTAGGGACAAAAGGGACTGATCCTGTAGCAATTATTATATCCTTTGCAGTTATCATGTTATCCTTTCCAAATTTCACCTTTTGGGGACCCTGATAATCAGTATAATATGTCAGAAGTCAGAAGTATATTATATTAATATCAACAAGGGTATTTTAGTCAAAGGCTTACCAGAATTGAACCAAAACCGGTCAATATGTCTACACCAAGTGCAGTTAGTGAATTGGTCAAATTGTTGCGAATTTTTGAAGCAAGATTACTTGCATGATCAGCTACTGCCTGTCTGTTGTATCCAGCACCTGACACCTATTAAACTCCAAAACAGCCAAAACATAAACTTTCTAGTGCTGTTTTTAACCATGATGGCAAATCACAGGGACCATTTTTGCAATTTTGTAAAAGTTATATTACCTGTATGCCTAAAGCTTTCATGTGATGGTCATCTTGGAGTTCCCTCATGCGACCACTAACAGCAAGAAGAGCTTTAGAAGGAACACATCCTCTGTTTACACATGTTCCTCCTATCACATCACCTTCGATGATAGCTGTTTTTAGACCCTGTCATGTACTTAAAACTTTGATAAAATAACTTTTTTTTTTTTTTTTATATTAATCTTATTATACCTCAATCAGGAAAAGGCTGGAAATAACCTTAAAATGTTATTGTCATAGTATAAACTGATTTCAGTTAAATTCAACAAAGTTCTTTTGCATCAGTTGAAAGTAGGGATCAATCAATCATCTTATGTGTAAGGACATTTTTGTTGGAGTTAAATTTGCTTTCTTTTATCTTCGATCAAATGTAGTCATCAAATAGTCAAATTATGTGTGCAACCTTTGACTGGTTAGGTATATATTTCATTATTTATAGAGTATGAACTTCAACATGTCCAAGGATATTATAGATTAATCATTAGGTCAATATTTTATGCAACCTTTGACTGAGTACTCGACTTTTGAGGATGTTTGAACAAGACTCGGAATCTACATCAATTTTTTATAGTTCTGACAAAAGATTATAGATAACATGAATAAATTACGCTCAAGGAACCTTGCAATTTTCATGCCATGTTATAATTATAATACGAAAAATACTGCAATTATTTTTGTGGTGCGATTTAAACAATTATTTCTTCTAACCTTTTCAACAGCATGCAATGCAGCACCATGGCCACCAACTCCCGCTCCGATTATAATCAGATCATAATCAAAAGACTTTGGAGGACTTCCATTGCTGCCTGGCGAAGCTGCTGTAACGTAATTCCCGGTCTTCTTTGATAAACCACTAACTACTCTGTATTTGGGCTGAGATAACTGTAGAACCTCTCGCCGGAGACCGCAGAAACGGAAACTGAAGGGTGCCGGAGAAGAAGGAAGTGCGGTGAGTGAAGTGTAGGGTTCGAACGATGGAGAAATTGGTGACGTAGAGATTAAGGAGTGCATTTCTGTGATTGGAAGGAAGGGGGTGAAGGAGGGTGAGAGAGACCGTTTAATTGGATAGAGTGAATGGGGGAGGATTTGCTGATTTGTCTCCAATAATTGGATAGACTCAATTACTTCCGTTTAGAATGTTGTTACATGCAAGGTGTTTTATTAGGTATAGATGTATGTCCAATAAAATCTAAGTTAGTGGGTATGTTTTGCAATGAAGCGTTTTGAGAAAAAAAAATATTTGATACCGTAAACTTTTATCATTTAGTTTAAAAAAGTGTTAGTGATTAGTTTTTTAGTCAGTAAATCAATAAATTAAAAAATGATTGGCTTAAAATTGTTTTTTGTTTGTTTTTTTATTCTAATAATTTATAAGTTATTTAAGAAAATTACAGTTTGTTACTTTTTGAAAACTCATTTTCAAATACTAAACAAAAAATAGTTTTAAAAATCCTTATTAAGTATCCAAACCATTTTTTACTTATTAACTTTTTAAAAAGTCAATAAGTTAATAAAGAGTTTTTAGATGAATACTCAAACACTTTCTAAATAAAAACGTTTCAAATCTAAAGTTATCTAACATAGTGTTTAACAAAATATTTCCCGCTACCAGCTAGTTTGTTGAACACGTCTACAACCATTACAATCAGTTAATGTGTTTTAAGTTACCATTAGGTATTGCTAGTATTTGTTATGGTTAATGATGTTGATGGTTTTGATTAATTATTAATATTGGTTATCAATCATAAGGTTAAAAATTATATAAAGAAGAGAAAACACATTGATATAAACAGTTTGTTATTTTAAAATAAGTTTTTGGAAAATTTATAACAATAATAAAAAGCCTCAAAGCTACTTAATTATAATAAGATCATAAACTCTAATCAATTTACACTACCTCTTGAATGGACTTTCGGATAATATAATATGAAATAATATAATCTATAATCAAAACATGGAACTCGAGTGTCACTTCCCATCAACTCAAATGCATGTATATCATCAACGTTCAAACCCGAGTGTTTAGTAATTAGTACAAATTTGTGCAATCAGTGGTTTAGGGACATGCATGTCATTTCCATGTTTAGGGTAAAACAAAGGAAAAAGGGCCAAGATTCCATGCATGGCCTCAAAAGTCACGTTTACTATATATCCAAATAGTCAATGCTCCAAATGGCCTGAAGATTCATAAAGTTGCAATCTTTATGAGATATCACCTTCTAAAAACCACAAAACACGAAGAAAAGGGACCAAAATCCAAGATCTAACAACATAGCAAAGAAAAGATTGAGTCTTGAACACTTACCCAAGTCCAGAAGAGAACCTAGAAGATGAATATGTTGTTTGCAAAGATGATAATCCTCACCAAAGGCTTCCTTCTCCTTCAAAAATGCCAACAAAGTATGAAGAATGAACTTTCGAGAGTGATGGAGGCTAGAGTTAGGTTTTCAGTGATTGAAAGGGTGATGGAGGCTAAATGACCTTTAAAACCTAGCCATAATGTCCTTTAAATAGGGCTCAAAGCCCAAATGATTAGGGTTTCACCAAAACTGGTTGCCATGTTGTGATATCTTATGACCACACCATGGTGGTTCATTAAAACTCGCGACCCATAAAATAATGACACGCCATGGTGAGGCTCCACCATGTTGTGGCCACCCAAAACAATATTGACATTTGCAAATTAAATTTGTACCTTAAACGGGTGTTACATTATTTTTCTAAATTCTATTTATTATTTTTTTGTAGTTTCAACACTTTCATGATTTGTATTTTCAATGAAATATGGTATAAATTAATTCATAATAAAACTCATTACTAAATTGCATGATCTTGCTAATATTGTATCAGCAGAAGAACTTGCTCAGTAATATGAATAAATTATATGAAAGAGCTTATACATCTGAAGCTATTTCAGCGTATGGAATAATCATAATAAAAATGAATGAGATGGACAACGGTAGAAATGTGATTTTACTCTGCCATATGATAATCACTATTGTTGTAGTTCATGTTGAACTAATTGAAAGTGATTACGTGATATGGAATAATTAGAATAAAAAGATATACATGGTGCAACTTCATTTGACCTGGTGTTGCTTTTAGATTATTTTGTATTTACATATGGAAAATATGGTCTTGCTAAAATGATATGTAATTTTTGTTCTAGGATGAATTGGAACAACAGTCCTGAAGATTGTTAAACTTGATGCAACTCTTGGAGGTCCTACGGATACATGCAAAGCATGGACTTCCCTACTAGTTTCGAGTTATTTGAATTAAAAGTTGTACATTTTTTTTCAATTTTACTGATGATCAAAGAAAATTTCAATATGATTAAGTTTTCTTCTACTTCTATTGATGACCGAGGCAAATTTTATGTTTTTTGAAACAAAAATTCATGATTAACAGTAAAATATAAGTTTTTGTTTTTGTTTTTATTTATTTATTTATTTATTTATCTGAATGTAACCTAATTTCGTATGGACTGAATTGAATATTGAAGTTTTTAGTAGAAATCATCTTGATTTTGTTGTTGTTCTTCGTACTTGCGTGATGATCGGAGAAGTCAACGACGAGCAGAGAGAACTCAACAACGACGTCTAAATAAAAATGCTTCAGCCCAATGGTTTTTTATTAGCATAGTTCGCCAACATTCTTATATATATATATATATATATATATATATATATATATATATATATATATATATATATACACACATTCGTGTAACAAAAAGTAATCATCATTGACAAAATGATTATTAGGTCGTTACAACATGCATATACATTTTTATGCCAACCAACCAGTCCAAAAGTCATTAAATCTCATAATAATATTAGGGAATTCTCCAAACTCCAAGAACTCCAAAGAAATTGGCTAAAAAGGACCAACATGACATGATATTATAAGAATCTAATGATCAAAGTTTGAGACTTTATACCTCCAAAGGTCCAAAAATAAGAAGAGAATGGTAGAACTATACCTCAATATTACAAGAACCACCTTCTTCAACCACAAGCTTCACCACCAATGGAAAACCAAGGTCAAAAACACAAATAACACAATAATCAAGATCGAGAGAGAGAGAGAGAGAGAGAGAGAGAGAGAAGAGGCTATGGTTTCACTTTGAGGATGAAGGTTGATGAGAATGACGAACCCCTAGGGATTAGTGCACTTAAGTATGACCAAATCCTGATGCTTCTAGGGTTTGGCCCATTAGGCCACCGCGTCGCGATCATCACCTGACCGCGCTGTGACTTAAATGACGCGGGCACGCCACGATGGGTCTACATCACTGCACCGTGGTCAATTAAAACCCTAAGACTCAAAACTTAAATATATTAAATGCCAAAAGATTAATACATGAAAGTGGATGTTACATATCAAGATCAACTACCAAGTTCTCAGATAGACAATGATAATTCTCTCCTATTGAATACATGATTCATATTCATTTTTATTTACCACTTTGTCTTTATCATCTTCAAACCATTCCATTATACCATCACCAAAGTGGTCATGGTAAATGAATATCTTAACATCAATAAGTTATACGATCTATATAAAAGTGGTGTACTCAATTTCAATTTCAATGTATCAAATACCAAAGTATAAGGGTTGCTTAGGAATGGGCTAATAGTCCATGCCTCATCTTCATTTGCCCAACACCATGTTATATAACGTCATAATATGTTTATCTCTCACATAACACAATTGATAAAACACATGCTCTACTAGTGATTATAGTTAAAAGTAAACAAATAATTGTACATTTACTCTCGGAAATCAACCTTTTATATAAACTATTTATTTACTTCTTGAAAACTAATTATTTGAACACTATAAAGCTAAAAAATCTAAATCAAAACCGAATTTAACAAACATTATAAAACAAGTTACAACTTACAACAATATCAAATTATAATAATCATTCATATACCGGTTCCTTAAGCATTCATTTATCTTTTATCATATTCAACTTCAACTTAAATGGAAAAAAATATACTAATTTGAAACCTAATCTTAAAATATCCAAAACTTTGAATACATATTCATATGTTCATATGTTCATGGTAAAATTTCAAAATTTTGGATATCCATATCCAAAAAATTCGAAATATGTTTTTTAGTTGTATTTTTGTATTTTATTATTATTGAATATTCTCATGAAACAATTATACACAATTAATAAAAGCATATTTATATATATGGATTTGGATTTACATAAAGGTTCACATATTGTTTAGTCTCCGATTTAAATTGATATATCAAGTATATATAAAATAAATATGTGATTAGGTTTTATAAGATACAATATAGTTATAAGTTCAAATTATAATCTCATATCTCTATCTAAATCGATATCCATATTCGTAATTAAACTTTCGTTCATATCTCAAATGTAATGCCTTCCGATATATTAATTTTTTAACATAAATTATGCTAAATTTTTAAATAAAAATATCATTTGATTTAAATGTATAAACTATAAAGGATATAAAGGATGATGGAGATACAATAATGTGATTAAAAAAAAGAAGGAAAAAGAAAAAAAAATATGTATATTTTTCTGTAGCCAAGCCAAAGAGAGTCGGGGGCTGAGCACGGATGCTTCTCTCCTTACAGAAGCCAAAATAAAAAAGAAAAATAAAAGAAAAAAGAGGCTTGAGAGAGGAGACAGAAGGGAGAGAGAGAGCGAGCGAGCGAGAGAGAGGGGAAGAGAGCGAGATAGAGAAAGGCTTACTCCTACATCAATGGCGGTTAGGGTATCTGAGTAATTGATTTTCTTCATCTCTGTTTGAATCAGTTTCATTCTTCTGTTTTGTCTCCCTCTCCCTTTGTTGGATTTTTTTTGATAAAAAAACCCTAATTTACCCGTATACTGCAAGAATCATCTTCAACTTTTTATTGTTGTCGATTTCTGAGAAAAAGCGGACTGACTTGTGATGGGAGCGCCGGAGAAGACAACTACTTCTAACAATAATTCTTCGATGCAGGTCAGTCCAGTTGCTTATCTTTTTTATTCTGTTACTTGTCTTAACGTAATTCTGTTGCTTTTTCTTTTGCTTGATTCTTATTAATACCTCCTTTTCGTGTTGAAGTTTTTGCAGTTCATTAGATGTCGAATTTTAAGCTATATGGCTATATCTTTGTGTTCTT